TGTGTGTGTGTGTGTGTGTCTCTCTCATGTCTCTTGTGTGTGTGTGTGTGTGTCTCTCTCATGTCTCTTTTGTGTGTGTGTCTCTTGTGTGTGTGTGTGTGTGTGTGTGTCTCTCTCTCATGTCTCTTATGTGTGTGTGTTTTGCAGGCATGCTAAACAGGACGTGGATGATGAGTACGGCAGCGCAGCGTTTGCTCGTGGGCTACAGTCATATTATGCCGTGGCTCATGCGGTCACTGAGCGGGTGGACAAACAGTCGTCTTTGCTAATCAACGGTCAACTCAAGCAATACCAGGTCATTCTGAGCTCTTACCAGTCGTTCAACATCAACACTTTCAACATTAATGGACAACTGATGAGAGTTTTTTAAGTTGCTGATACACACAAAACACACACATTAAGAACAGACTAAGAGAGCTCTAGTGATTGCAAACAGAAAACTGACTGAAACAATAAAAAACAATCCAAACGAAGAGACTTCAGACAGACGAAACAGCAGGCACTAGCTGAATGTGTTGATGTTGTGACTGTTTCTCCACAGGTCAAGGGTCTGGAGTGGCTGGTGTCTCTCTATAACAACAATCTGAACGGGATCCTGGCGGATGAGATGGGTTTGGGCAAAACCATCCAAACCATCGCTCTCATCACGTACCTGATGGAGAACAAGCGTCTGAACGGACCCTACCTCATCATCGTGCCGCTCTCGTCAGTCGCTCAGCCTGTTTTTACTTCTGTATGTTCACACAGAGAGTCTGTTTGATGAACACTGTGTTTCTCTGACAGGACTCTGTCTAACTGGGTCTATGAGTTTGATAAGTGGGCGCCGTCTGTCGTCAAAGTCTCGTATAAGGTGAGCGACACACAGAGACACATGATCTGATGTACTGTAACGGAGTAAACATGAATCTGTGTTAGTGAGTGACTAAACTGGCTGTATTTCACTTCTGCTCGAGACTGTGTGATAATCCAGTTTATGCCAAGTCATATTTATTTCTATAGGGCTTTATATAATACAGATTGCTTCAAAGCAGCTTCATGGAAATAAACATGAAAATATCAGTGTTAATGCTGTATAATTCATCATTCATGAAATGCCTTCAGCTGTGAAGCAGCTCTACTGAAGACAGCGCTGTCATTAGTTTATATCGTGCCTGTGTTCTGCAAATACAGCGACTCTTACGATAAAGTCCTTATAATGTTCCTCATATGTGTCCCTGCAGCACAAAAGCAGTGTTGAGTCGCTGGGGGATATTTGTAGCAATAGCCAACAATACATTGTATGGGTCACAATTATACATTTCTCTTTTATGCCAAAAATCATTAGGATATTAAGTAAAGATCATGTTCCATGAAGATATTTTGTAAAGTTCCTACCATAAATATATCAAAACTGAATTTTTGATTAGTAATATGCATAGCTAAGAACTTCATTTGGACAACTTTAAAGATGATTTTCTCAATATTGTCCTATCCTAACAAACCAGACATCAATGGAAAGATTATTTATTCAGGTTTCAGATGATGCATAAATCTTAATTTTGAACACTGGTTTTGTGCTCCAATATTGTCACATATTTGAGTCACTTTGAACAAATGCAAATGTTTTAAGGAAGTCAATGGTCAATTTCACAGTGACTTTAAGCAGTCAAGTCAAGTCACCTTTATTTATATAGCGCTTTTAACAATACAGATTGTGTCAAAGCAACTGTACAGCATTAATTAGGAAAATAGCGTGTCAATAATGCAAAAGGACAATAGTAAACACTCAATCTTCAGTTAAAGGCAGTTCATCATTGAATTCAGTGATGTCATCATCCAGCTCAGTTCAGTTTAAATAGTGACTGTGCAATCAAGTTGAAGATATCGCTGGAAATTAAGCGTCCCCAACTAAGCAAGCCAGAGGAACCATACCTCCATCGGTGACAGAATGGAGAAAAACCTCGGGAGAAACCAGGCTCAGTCGGGGGGCCAGTTCTCCTCTGACCAGACGAACCAGCAGTTCAGTTCCAGGCTGCAGCAAAGTCAGATTGTGCAGAGGACTCATCTGGCTCCTGTGGTCTTGACCCGGTGGCCGTCTGAGACAAGTTTCAAGCAGTTTGAGTGTAGTCAGTAGTGTAGTGCAGCTGATCTCGTATCCTCCCACAAACCCAAGCGCTGGTTTGATCATGTGATCGTGTGTGTTCAGGGATCTCCTGCTGCTAGAAGAGCCTTCCTCCCACAGCTGCGCAGCGGCAAGTTCAACGTGCTGATCACTACATACGAATACATCATCAAAGACAAGCATGTGCTGGCCAAGGTATGTGTGTGCCTCTGTGTGGTCACCTGTGACCTTTGACCTCGGGTAGACGCGCTGATGAGATCCTGTCACCTGACACAGATTCGCTGGAAGTACATGATCGTGGACGAAGGCCATCGCATGAAGAACCATCACTGTAAGCTGACGCAGGTGTTGAACACGCATTACCTGGCTCCGCGGCGTGTGCTTCTGACCGGGACGCCGCTGCAGAACAAGCTGCCCGAGCTCTGGGCGCTGCTCAACTTCCTGCTGCCCACCATCTTCAAGAGCTGCAGCACGTTTGAGCAGTGGTTCAACGCTCCCTTCGCCATGACCGGAGAGAAGGTCCGTCTCTTGAACTAGTGCTGAGCACATCTCTGACACCGAGCCGTTATCACAGACACACAGACTGATTAGGAACATGAATGCTAATCATGCATGTGTTTGTGTGTTAGCCTCTTTCTTATAAGGATGAATCAGACTTATTTTATTAATTATAACTTGATTCGCTTTTCTCTGTTAATTTTCTTAAAAAGAATGTTAGTCATCGCTCAGGAATGGACTATAACTGTAATAATAACTATTCTAACAGTCATCATGCACGCCAGCGGTCAGTAATGCGGTTTATTTTAAGCATGCTGCTGTTTGTCGTCTGCTGCTTTAAATGCTCAAGCTCTTTAAAGTCGAGTGGATTCTGATTGGTTGATTATCCTAGTTATCGTTTTAGTGTGGACTTCACTATTCAATTATAATTACATTGCATTCAGTCAGATTATAGATTTTTATCAATTCATGCATTTCCTGCCAATCGAACCCATGACCGTGGCGTTGCTAGCGCTGCACTTTACAGACATGAATCTTGAAGCAACCATTTTAAGCAAAGTAGTGAAATGAATTCAAATGTACCTCTATGTTCACATCATTGTGATGAAATAAACTAACCAGTGTGATTCCATCCTGAGCCTTTAATATGTGATTCTGCTCGTCAAGACATGCTGGGAAATGAAGGGCAGTAGTAGACGTGACTGATGTGTCTCTCAGGTGGATCTGAACGAGGAGGAGACCATCCTGATCATCCGCCGCCTGCACAAGGTGCTCCGCCCCTTCCTGTTGCGCCGGCTGAAGAAGGAAGTGGAGGCGCAGCTGCCTGAGAAGGTGATTCTGATGCAGTCTGTCTGTCGTCGCCTCGGACAGATGAAGCATTGTGCTGTTTTGTGTCTGTGTGCAGGTGGAGTACGTGATCAAGTGTGACATGTCTGCGCTGCAGAGGGTCCTGTACCGACACATGCAGGCCAAAGGAGTGCTGCTGACCGACGGCTCCGAGAAGGACAAGAAGGTGAGCACGAGAGTGTGTGTGTTTCAGGGTAAATGTGTGTGTTCAGGGTAAATGTGTGTATGTGAGTGAGTGTGTGATTATGAGTGTGTGTGTGTGTGTGTATTTCAGGATTAATGTGTGTGTGATTATGAGTGTGTGTGTGATTATGAGTGTGTGTGTTTCAGTTTAAGTGTGTGTGTGTTTCAGGGTAAATGTGTGTATGTGAGTGAGTGTGTGTGATTATGTGTGTGTGTGTGTGTGTGAGATTATGAGTGTGTGTGATTATGTGTGTGTGTGTGAGATTATGAGTGTGTGTGATTATGTGTGTGTGTGTGAGATTATGAGTGTGTGTGATTATGTGTGTGTGTGTG